GGTCATCAGAGTGAACAACAGAATTACATAAGTATTTTACAATATTTAATACAAAAAGTTCTCTCGTAGTTATAGTTTTTAAGGGTCAGGTAGACTTACCATAATAATAGATGTGTTAATGTTTTAATAATAAAGAAAACTGGGTCAAAAGTATGATATATCTTTGTACATTGGCCTAAATAATCTTCAAAGACTATTTATTTCAGAGAGGCCGGTGTGAGGGGGGTATGAAATGTGTTAACTAATAGTGATCTGGATCAAATTACTGTTTTGTTTAATCCACACAGGGATAAAGACAAAAATTTACATTTGAAGAAAATTCATGTAAAATTTCAAAATTCTCCCATATGGTAATAACGACAAAGTCCATGTTTTGCACTGGAAAACCTGAAATAAGTGTCACATCAAAAAGTTAAATAGCTAGGAGGTGCACAGTGGCAATTATTATGTAATAAAGAATCTGTGAAAGTACATGTATCATTAAATATTATTCAGTGGTATATATAGGAGGAGTTGCGGTTAAGAGATGCCCGTACCCTTCAACACTATAGAAAGAATGGCCATGGCATGTGTTTTACTCTGGGAAACTCAAAATATGTGTCCGATCAAAATATAAAATAGGAGGTCACAATGGCACTATGTAAAAAAGATTCTGTGAAAGTATCAATAAGAAAAAATCATTTTGTCAAAGTACAGCAAAAGAATATTTGTAGGGCTCTGACGATATATCGAGAAATTGATTCTGTGTGAAGACGATACACAAATCGATACATATGAAGAAATATCAAAATATTGCAAAAAAAAAAAAAGACTTCTGTTTTTTTTTTTTTTTTTTGTTTAACGTTTTGGGTATGATATATAAAATAAGTATGCTAATATAAATACAGATATGAAATAAAATAATACCTTTGAGTTAAAAAAGTTTGTTTAACAACAGATATACGACCTCTTTAAATAAATTTCACTCTTATTTTTTGAGGAAATGTTTTGTTTAACTTATTTCAATGGAAAAAAAGATTTTATAACCAATTAAACATATATCGTGATACGAGTACATATCGTTTCATGACTTAAATAGATGTGAACTATATCAATATAGAAAAAGTTGCATCATCTCAGCCTTAAATATTTGATCAGAGAACTATATAATTATATATTTTACCTAGATACGTTTGTTCTTTTCTTTAAATTTCTTAATTTCTGTTTTATACTTCTTTAAATGCTGAAGTATATTACCTTCTGTTTTATTATAGTGTGTTTTGATGACTTGGTGACAGTACCCAGAAGGAGACTCAGCTAGATGAAGTCATATGGATGTGCTTAACATGAATGACAAGGAACCCACAGGTATGTGAAAATTAACCCCCAACCCCCAACCCAGCATGCCATTCTTTATGAATCTTGGTTCCTCATTTTTACTTCATTTGCCCTGATTACCTTTTTTCATTCTTTTCCAACAGAAACAAAAGAGTCAGTCACTATTGTTCCTTTCACCAGGCTCCTAATTCCTAATAAGTATAGAAAAAAAAGACACTTGCATCTGACGTTGAAGAGGACAGTAGAAGAATTAACGGTGTTGGTGAAGTTCAAATTTCTTCAAAAGTGTTGAAAAGTTATAATCTTCAGCCTGATAGGAAGTGGTACATGTATTATCATCTACCACCAAGATACTGAAATGAGAAGCTAAAACCAGACAGGAATTTGGAAACAAGTGAAAAACAAAAGACTGATGGACATTGACCCTCCAAGAATGGAAATGAGCACCTCTTAAATTGTTTTTATAATTATATATTATCTGACTGTGTGTTTTTAGTGTGTGTGTGTGTGTGTGTGTGCGGATTACCTTATAGAGTTGAGTTAAAGTGTGGAAACTGAATAAATTTTGCAATGTATTCTAATGTTATTGTACCTATTGTATTTTTATTCCCATTGGATAGGGGAATTAAGTTCTGCAGAAAGAAAACAAGAGGTGTTTGTGAAACACCGATGGTTTCTCCATCTCAAAGATATATTGGTTAATGCTTTGTCTTGAAATTTTGGTACAGAATTTTTCAACTCTGAATTGAAAGTGGCTCATGACAACAATATCTTGATCTTGCCACAATGTGATAGTGCAAAGGATAATGTCAATGAGATGAAGAAATTATGTCAGAGGCATAGATAAAATTCTAATATGGTCCATCTTGTGATGGGCCATTTTATGGTCTGGGTTTTCCTGTCCTTATGTCATCTGGTAGCTATTTTATCTCAACAAACCAAAGATTTAAAGGGTATTACGATGAAGTTTACAGTTAAAGGCATCAAACTATCCAGATCATTTTATGAATTCAATGTAGCTGAGGTTATCTTCACCTCACGTTTTAATTTTATGGCCACTTCAAGTCAAAGTCAGAATTACATTATTACAATTAATACTGTATAAAGGGAAATGTTCACCCTGGTTTTATTTTCGCCCTAACCTTGGGCAAAATTAAAAAGGGGCAAATTCAAAGAATACAGAATAATTTCTCAATCAAAACTGTGACTTGGCCAATTTAAAACGGCAAAATTGTTTGCAAATGTGAAAGGACAAAAATAAAGCGGAGTGAAAATAACCCTGTATACAGTAATTACTTTGATTCCTCACTGAAAGGCAAAACTTTGATATCAAACTTATGAGGATATAAGAATGGATTAGCTCCTTAAACTGTGACACCAATGTCCAGAGTGGGAGAGGTTACATAATCTTGAAAGGAGCCAAAAAAACAAGATGTGTTTGTGTTAACTGATAACCCCCGTATGGCAGCTTATGGCGAGGGTTGAATTCTCCCATATAATAATATAATAATAATAATAATAATTTATTTAGAGAAGGTAACCCGATTAGTGCGAGCACTAGTCTTCCTCGGGGCCTTCTTAAAAACACATATACAATGCATATATACAATAAATAGAATTACAATTATGAGACAATAAAAATCAAGTGTATGTTACATAGTAATAAAACATCAACATTTCAATATATAGAGAGAGAAGAACAAAAAATCATATAGAATCATTGCGTTTCATCAGCAGAAAATTTTCAACATTTCTTTTAAATATTGCCAGGGATTGGGACTTTCTGATATTAATTGGTAACTCATTCCAGATAATAACCCCTGAATATTGTAAAGAATTTTTAAATAAGTTAGTTTTATATTTTGGTAATCTAAGTTCTGAATTTGTTTCTGAGCGTAACGTGTATGATCCAGAACTTTGAAATTCAAAAAGATTATGCATATAATCGGGAGACATACCATTAAATATTTTGAACATTAGAATGCTTTTCTGTAAATATAAAAGTTCATAAACAGTTAGCCAACCTAAAGTGTTAAATAAAGGCATTGAAGGTGTATCAAATTTTTCATTTAAAATAATCCTAGCTGCTCGTTTTTGTAATCTGTAGATTCTATCCATATGCGTTTGAGGACAATTGTCCCAAATGGATAGACAATATAAAATTGATGGTAGAATAAAAGCATTATAAAATAGTTTTCTAGTATGCATTGGAAGAAACCTTTTAATGTTTCGTAAAGTAAATAATTTGTATGTAAGAGTTTTGCAAACTGCATCTACATGACAATTATATTGAAGATTATGATCAATGTGAACACCTAATAATTTTTGCATCTCTAGGTTTTCTAGGGGCTGGCCGGAAAGTTGCAGATGAAAATTAACGTTTTCTAATTTAGATTTCTTTTGTTGTGTTCCCATTAACATACATTTTGTTTTATCAGTATTTATAATCATCTGATTTTGTTGACACCATTTTTGTATTTGACAGAGTTCATGATTAAGAGTTGTTTCAATACGTGAAATATTATTACCACGAAAATGCATTGTAGTGTCATCAGCAAACATATCAATATTACAATGTTCAACGCACAATGGTAAATCATTAATATACAATAGAAACAACAAAGGACCTAAAATAGAGCCCTGTGGCACACCTGCTGTGACTGGCAGTGATTCAGATGTGTACGCACCAATTTTAACACTTTGAGTTCGATCATATAAATATGATTGAAACCATTTAATTGATATTGGATCGAAGTGATAGCATTTAAGTTTTCTAATGAGTATATCATGATTAACAAGATCAAATGCTTTGGTAAAATCTAGATAAGTAATGCCAATAAAATTCCATTGATCTATTGCATGCAGCCAATTATCATTAGTTTTGTGAGAGCTGTCTGACACGAGTGAAGATCTCGAAATCCAGATTGTGCTTTAATTAATAAATCAAAGTGAGAAGTAAAGATACGTATATTTTCTGCTACATGCTTCTCTAAAACTTTCGATATAATTGGTAAAATTGAGATTGGGCGATAGTTTCCTGGGTCTGATTTATCTCCCTTTTTAAACAGGGGAGATACTTTTGCGACCTTTAACTGTGAAGGAAAAGATCCCTTGATAATGCTAGAATTTATAAGGTGTGTTAGAGGTTTGGATATTATACTAGCTGAAAGTTTAAGCAATTTAGGTCCAAGAAAGTCTATACCAGCAGATTTGTTTACATGCATTGTCAAAGATCAAGGTCAAAAGTTTTGGTATCTAAAGGAAGGTCTTGTTACTAGGAATACACCTGTGAAATATGTATCCCTAGTTCTAACTGTTCAAAAGTTATCTTCAAGGTTAATGTTTTTAAAAAGTGGGTCAAACTCTTAAATACATGTGTGAAGTATGAAAGCCCTAACTCCAACTGTTCAAAAGTTATGGCCAAGGTTAAAGTATGTTTTTTTTTGTAAAAGTAGGTCAAACTTCAAGGCCAATAAGTCAAATTTGGTGGTACCAAAAGAAAGGTCTTGTCACAAGGCATACACCTGTGAAATATAAAAGCCATAGCCCCACCCACTCAATAGTTATGGGATAGGTTAAAGTTGATGATGGACAGAAAAACAGATAGGATAAAAACAATATATCTAAATGATCTTTTGATCCGAGGCATAAAAATAACCAACGCTCAAAATAAAGGACACACATTTCATAACATATTTATGTATATATTTATCTATTCAATTTTAACTAAATATACATATATGTAAATAAATCATAAACATTGTACCTATTTTTAAAATAATCAGTCAATACTAAAATAGTTCATTGATAAAAACCTGAGGATGATTGATTTACTAACCTTTCAAGTGTCTGTAAAAAAATTACTGTAAATCACTTTTTATCTGCGAGAACTTTATTTTCGCGTAATTACGCAAGACTGTGTGCTTGCGAAAATTTAATTCTCGCGTATAATAGTATTCCTTAAGATTATATAGAGCAATAACCACAATTCGTGAAAATTTTATCTCTCTTATCAAGAATCAATGACTATCTCGCGAAAATAAGGTGTCGCAAAAATTTAGTGATCTACAGTACCCTGGTATTAAGTGCATACCAGTAAAACAGTAAGGCCAGATGCATTTCAACAAGAACTACTTTTGAGAATCATCCAGTACAGGCACTTGCTGAATTTGAGTGAAAAGAAAGGGGGATGTTACTGTAGACGTACTTTTTTTCCACGGGGTCTTAAATCCGTGGAATCTCAATTTCTATTGAATCCGCGTCTAAAAAATTACGCAGATTTCCTAGACTGTCTTATATGCCTTGCATTTATATCAAGTACTCTTGGACAAACTTCTGTGGAAAATTTGTGGCCGCTTACAAAGCGTAAATTAATACCACGTGGAAAAAAGTGCTTCTACAGTATTTAAGAGGGCTGGGGGTTGTGGTCATTTGTAGACTAAATGATCTCCTTTAGAAGAAGAGCTCCATATGAAGATGTACAAATTGCTCAAATTTCAAAACTTAAATGTATGAAAATTTTCTTTGCCAAATGATAGTTGACGGCTTTTAAAGATATCATATATAAGAAATGAAGTTATAACTGATGGTTAATTTGTTGACCCTCCAGCCTCCTTAAGCTATTTCAAGTATGATTTTGCAGCTAAACAAAAATACTTGTTTAACTAGCAAAACGTGTTTATAAGAATGCATCCATGCAAGCAAAATTAACAATAGATAATATATCATTCAACATGTTGTCACATATAACATGATGTAAAATAAAAGTAAAATGATTTAGAATGGAATCACAGAAGCTATAATCAACAGGGATAAATAATCAACAATGCATATCTCCATGCATTTATAAATGGATACACATGTATAATTGTGTAATCGTAACAAATTAATTAATATACATGTACATATTAAAAGTTTAAACAAAAATTCGTAAAAATTTGTTTATACAATACATAACAGTTAAAGCAATATAGTCTGTAACTGCATTACATGTACTTTGAGAAAATATTCATTTGTACTCTCTCTTCTTGGTCAAAGTTATAAACAAAACCTTACTATCTAATCATTCCAGATTATGTGGGGGAACAAAATCAAAATAAGGACTAAACTAATTCAGCACGAAGGCATGTTAATTCATCTTGAGTACCGGGGTATTATCTCAATCATCATGTGTTGCATGTCATTATAATGATTATGGTATAAATATCAATTTGAAATCTTTATTTGTCAACATTCTTAAGGAATCCCTGAAAATTGAATAGGACAAACTATATATGAATTCTCAAAGAAAGTCTTGTTTTAACATTTACATCAATCATGGTCAAAGTTATGCAAAATTCTGGACCATATTGTTTAAACACAAAAAAAAATGGATATAAATGTATCAGTAACATCAGCAACCATTGCTTTGTTATCAAGTGATACAATGTTCCCATCTGGCCTTGGAAATTTCCTTTTCACCGAAGTCCTTGTACGTTTCTATAAAATTTACATTTAACGATACTTGAAATTCACTGGTATTGCAAGAATGGGGAAAAACTTCCATTTTGAAAAAAGTCTACCAGTACTTCCTTGTCAGCTGGTTTTATAATGGTAAAAGTGCACTTCTTTTTCATTGCATAATTTTTTCAAAAATACTTTAAAGAATTTACTAATTTTTTTTACATAACGGTAGCCGGGTACATTTTTAAACTTAAAAGTTCAAGGGTTTCAGATACCAGGTTTTCAAAATAACAATTTTAAAAAGTATGTTTATTAAATTTCTCAAAACTCTTCTGACAAAAATAAAAAAAATAATGATTATTATGAAACTCTTTGTATTAAAAAATTAGCACACTATACATGTAAAAAAAAAAATTTATAGCACCCACTGATTAAAAAAAAAACAACTTATTTTTCTTGCATCAAAACTTATGCATAGAAGTCTTTAAATTTGAAAATAGCCACCATAAATTGAACTAAAAATAGTTATTGCAATCACAACCGTGCTTTTGCCAAAAACTGGGCAATATTTTCAGTGTTGAGTGGAACATAGGTTTTGGTTTCTGGTGAGATGCGGAACAGCGGATCAGTCACAACAGCGGGGTTGTAGGCTTCCTTGACGTATTCCACCTTCCTCTGTTTGTGAGTGGTTGTCAGCGGCATCTCCTTGATGAAGCGGAGGAACAGTGGCTGGGCGTAGTGTGGTAGGTTCTCCTCACAGTGGTGGTAGATCTTAGGTAGCAGGTCTGTGTGGAACTCAACATTTTCCTTCAGTAAAATTCCCGCCATTCCAGCTCGACCATCATTACCTATTGAATAAAATACCATAAAATCCTTTGGTAAATGAATAAACTCAATATCTTTTAGTATTATGAAGTAGTGCATTGCATTTACACCCTTATAATGAATCACAAAATTATTCCCTTTTTGACATATTTTACATAAATACATATAACAAAAGATATTTTAACAGTAAGACATACATGGAGCTATAGCAACCTTTTGGGGCAGCTTAAAGTAATATTTAAACATGAACATGTATTTGTAACTTGCTGGGTCTAAGAGGCAAAATAAACTATATTATTTTGCACTTTTTAAAAACAGGACAAAACATGACACTACAACAAGATATTTTCTGTGAGCATGATACATGTATCTGTAAGGAAGCTTTACCATATATTTTTCTATCTGCATTGCTTTCAGAATTACTTATTATGAACTGGCCTGTAAGAGAGAGTATAAACTGACCTGGTATTTCTACCCCATATACGTTAGCGTCTTGTATAAAAGGTAGTCCCGTCAGAATATTGGCTACTTCATTCGTGGACACATTTTCACCTTTCCACCTGATCAAAAGAAATATTGGGATAGACAATAAATATTCTTGGAGACTTAAAGCTATAATGAACAGATAACTTGAGAATAAAACTCATGGTGGAATTGACATTTCACCCATACATGTACGCACCTAAAAGTATCTCCAACTCGATCTTTGAAATACAAGAAGTAATCCTTGTCGACGTACATCAAGTCTCCATAATTGAAGAAGGCATCTCCCTCTTGAAAGGCATTTCTAACATATTTTTTCTCATTGACTGCTTTGCCTCCGAGATAAAAGCCATCTTTGTACAGAGCTTGATTAGGGATTCCTCCAATCAGAAGTCCTGGCTCACCTGATCAATGTTTAAACCAAATATGCACTACACATAAAATTAAGCATGTGTCTACATGGTGTGCGTCCATAAGTAACCTTCTTGCTTATTTTTCTTTTAAACATTCAAAAATGGGAGTTGGGAAAATGTGATTCATTGTAAAATTAAAATTAGTCTTGGGTCTATAATTAACCCTTGTAGTGCCGGTACGTGATAAAGCGACGACCCAGATAACACCATCACAGTGACAGTGCCGGTCGTCGATATAGTGCAGTCCGCCATGTTGGCAATATTCGGTAACAGAGGTAGCAGTGTACATTTTGTGTAAGTCAGCATTACTATTAGAAAATTGACCCACAAATAGCAGATCTTGTTAGATTCTAAAATTTAAATGCATTAAACCATGGGGCAAAAAATATTGCTTAAGTTACATGTACCTTGGTGTAACAGGCAGAATTTTTTTTTAACCCTCCCTTTATGCCTTAGAAAGCTTTATCTTAGAAAATTTTGTTTCCCTTTGCCTATAGATGCTACACATATACAGTAGTATCAAAATGCACAAAATAAACAAAGAAGATGGGGGGATAAGGCGGGCAGAATGCCTATAGCACGACAGATAAGAAGTGAAAAATTTAATTAAGAAATAAATAACAAGTTTATAAACTTCAATGGGAATTGAAGTGGGTCAGTCACGTGATCAAATCCTGTGAAGGCCAAAGGCCTCCTCAGAAGATCTGATCATGTACCGACCCACTTCAATTCCCATTGAAGTTTATAAACTTGTTATTTATTACTTATATATATATATTTGAGACAGACAATTGAATATTTTCGAATTTAAGTTATTGCACTAACCGTCCGTCGTAGATTTTGAAAAATGACGCAAGGTGTAAATCGGCTTGCATGGCGGTTACGCTTCGAATTCATTAGGCTAAGGAATCTATTTCGAAGGGAATATTTTGTGAAAGGCTACTTGTGATCAGTAATAGTGAACAGATTGTTGTCTGGGAATATTTTATTCGTGAAAAATGATAATCGATGCTGAAAAGACGCAAGAAACACGTCCGAAGTTTGATGATAAAAAGTTGGAGGAATTTCGGTCGCTGGAAAGGGATGGATGGATCCGATGGATTGAGAAACTTGTCCGAGCCAGTTAATTTGCAATTTGATAAAAAATATTCCACGGTTTCACTAACTAAAGGCATACTGATCGTAAGACACTGATAAACATGGAGACACTGGCGACATCTTAATTTACATTGAACTATGAAAACGCTGAGGTGTTTGGCAGCTGTTCATGGCAAAGATATTTTCCAACAGATTTACACATTTATCGTGAGTTCAATTTAAAGATTAAATAAAAGTTTACCATGAAAATTTAACCAAAGGTCTATCCAAAAAAATATATATGGATGAACGTTAGAGCTCTGACTGTGCAGGTGACAAAAGTGAAGAAAAATGTAAACAAACGCTAGGCTCTTAGTTTTCTCTATGTACACAGGTTGAATCGATAGCCCCAAAACTGTATGAAATACTTGTTTACATTTAAAATAAAATAATTATCATTTTACTTGCTTATCTTATTCATTTTTATACATGAAAAGCAAGTAGAGGTCATTTTATAATATTTATGTACCGGTAGATATTATTGCGCCGTGTGATTAGGTCACGTATTTACCTCTGACCTCTGACAAACTTCATACAGAATTGAAGATATTTTCTCTCTGTATGTTTATATAATGGAGAGATACCACAAATGTATATATTCTCAATTATATCCAAATTTTATTTCATATTTCATCTAATATTAAAGTATACTTAATGTAAAATCTCTATAATTTACAAAAATCTCACAAAGACTGAAAATATTTGCCTATAAAAAAGCATACACAGACTTAAACAAAAAGATCATTTTTTCATACTTTAACAAAATTTTTCAATATGAGTGGGTCTTCGCTCCATTTTTTTGAAAGATAATCCTAAAAGTTTGCAATAAAATAAATATTTTTTGGTTTACAAAAATATGGAGCGAAGACCCACTATACCTTAAAAGTACAGTTTTATGACAAAACATTCACATCTTTCCAAGAAATACTTTAAGTCCATTAAGGGGGGACCTATGTCGTTCTACGTCAAAGCAGCGTTATGTGACGTCACAATAGCAATGTTTGTTTTTTCCCGCTGACTTTTGCAACTGTGATTATAGGCATAACATTGTTATTAATCAATAACGTACACGGTTTACAAAAAGAATTTTTTTTCATCATTTATAATAGTTTTAATTGATTTATGGAGTTTGTTAATATTAGAAATCTCTTTCTTTGGTGGATGATTCATAGCAATTTCAGTTGTAAAGAAATACCTCCATGATATGCTGATATAAAAGTGTAAAAAATTTAAGATAAAATTCAACAAAGAAAGCGGCTTAAATCAGAGAAATATGTTTAATTTTATGTTTACCATTAACTGTATTTTCTGGATAAAACTTTAAAAAATTAAGAAATGTACTTGTACCTATATTTACTTATTGATTTATAGTATATGTAGATTTTATTGTATGTCCTTCCTAGGTTCTATTAGGTGTTGATTGTTGACGGGGAAATGGTGGGGGGCAGAATGATTAGAATGAAGAAGAAAAGAGTTTATCTGTTTAAATTATTTCTAATCAAAACAAAATACTCGTTTTTTGTAAAATAATGTTATATTCAGATGTTTGTCAGTGCTTACTTACCTTTTTTAAGTGCAGAAAGGTCAATATTTATGACAGAAGAGTACGAAAATAAAAGAAAACGTCATATCTATCGTTTATTTTATCATAAAGGTATACTTTTTTCTTTGTTAAAATAAAGAGAGGGGTCATTTCTTTCAGAAAATATGAATTACAACATTTTCACACAAAGACTTTTTAAGATATTACCTGCTATTCATGTCAGAATTATAAAAAATACGACAAGAAAAACGGGGTGATACTTACATTGTGCTCCTTTATAATTTTTCATGCGGGATGAATTACAATGAAATTGCTTTCATTTTAAAGATACAAGTCATATAAATTAAATACCTGTTGATTTAGAATGTGATTTGACATTTTTGGTACTTTTTAGCACATATTTGGAGTAGAACAATAATGTCTGAAAATAATCTATTTTTAGCATTTCACACTGTTTTTGCACGTGCTCTTGTGTAAAAATAAGCATATAAAGGTATTGTTTTTAATACATAAAAATTAAGAGCAAGTGGTCAGGAAGGAAATGTCAAAGTCTTGAAAATTTCACACAAAGACTTTTCAGACATAGGTCCCCCCTTAAGTCAATGGTCATATCACAAACATGATTTAAATGCCCCTAATCATCATGAGCCATGTAGCATAGTGGCCGTTAGCACATTAGTCTCAAAGCAGTGTGATACTTCGGTATTTTCTTGTTTGGGTTCAAATCCAACGTATACCATCTATTATTTTTTTTAATGACATTTTTAAAGAGATTTATTTTCTCTCAGAAATTTTTTTTTTCTCATAATTTCATAAATTTCAATAATGAGAGGTAAATTTAAATACTCATTTTATATCAAATGTGATTTCTTCATATCTGACGCTATAGGCATTCTGCCCGCCTTATCCCCCCATTTTCTTTGGTTTCCAAAAATAGGAGAGAAAAGATAAATGACATCAGTTTTCTACACAATACAAGAGAACTGAGTGATTCATTTAACTCGAAAAGAGAATTAACTTCTCTAAACAAGTAAAGTTCATTTACCTATTTTGCAAGGAATGCATCGCCCTTCTTTGTTTCTCAATGGAGTCTCAGTGTTTGGATCATAACGCACTAAATATGATTTGCCTGGTGTCAACCTATTCTGTAAAAAAAAAAAAAATGAATGTTTCATTAGAGCAATACTTCTAGAATTTACACATGTCATTCAATCACAATCACTAGGGAGACAAGAAACAAAATGTCATGTATGAATACACAAGTCTTGTAATATCATAAATTACAATATGAGTAGATGATCAAATTTGTTTCTAAGACAATGTTAATCTGATTTCATGTAGATTAAATGTCATGTCTCTTGTTTATAGTTACAGCCTGACAACTGTCTTTAAACTCACCAGGAATGGGGACAGTCGCCCACAGGCTCCTACTTTCCCCCAGGTATTCACAAAGGCAACAGTCCCTTCTGAAGCTCCAAAGAACTCTATGATTTTTGGAATCTTAAACCTTGCTTGAAATTTTTCCCATATATCTGCTCTCAGCCCATTTCCTATCATAAATCTGATGCAATGATTTCCATCCTCAGGGCTCTAAAAATTCAAAAATACAAAAAGAAATGTTTGAAAAACACATATGTCCTAAATATGGAAATGTTTAAAAGGAACATCTATAAATTTAAAATTTTGCAATGACAATGATATTATTTATAGATATATATTATCTGGAAAAAACAATATAAAACCAACTTAGATCTCTATCAGACCTCAATATTATAAGGGGTAATTTACTTCTTATTTCTTAAAATGTCTGTAAAGCATCCTGAGCTGAACATACATGTATCTTCTTTTGTCTTGAAAGTTTTATCCACAACTTATGTCTTTGGTCATTTACTTCTCTTTAGGTACCAATTAACTTCGATCCTGATATTTCTTAAACTTTTTTTGCAAAGTATATTTTTAGTTTTTACATACATAGAAAAACCTTCCGCCACAAAATATGTCTTAAAAATCTACACTGGTCATTTACTTCTCAAGGGATACTTAAAAAATATGCAGAATTTTATAAATAAAGTGTACCAATTAAGATGTCTGCCAGACAATGGGTTTCAAGATAATGAGCATTACATGTGGTAATCAACAACTTTTTTTGTCAAGTTTGCTCCTTAACTGTGAGATCCAAATTGATATCAAAGTATTTACTTTTAAAGAGGCTGGGGTGGCAGCCATTTTCAGACTATTTCAATCTCCTTTAAAAGAAGAGCTCCATATAAAGACATACAAAAATGATCAAAATTTAAAACTATAAGATGTATGATTTTTATCTTTGCCAAATGATAGTTGACAGCTTAAGATACCGTATCTTAAAAAATAAGATAAATCTGATGGTTAATTTATGGTTAATTTGTTGACCCCCCCAGCCTCCTTGAGGGGAAAATTTTTTTTTACAAAGATTGATGTTTGTCAAGCAAAGGGTTCTCAAGATTGAATGAAAATTTGACCCTTGACCTTTAACCATGTGATCTTGGTTTGTGAGTTTATCTTGATGAGTGATGTTGGAATTATAGCGTCTTAAATCTTTAAAAAGGAATCGGCAGAAACCTTTTATTGGTTTAAAACTTTTTTCTCTGTGAACGGATGTTCTCTTTTGCTATATGTTTTAATTTCTAACGAAAAAAAACTACGACTTTTGAGCTTGAAAACCAGCTGTTCAATATCTCTGTATTTCATGAATTATTTTTAAAAAGACAATAAATTTAGCACAGATACAGATGCTCAATATATTTAATTTATATGATATAATAATATGTTTAACAGTGTGACCGTTGGGGCGAGCGCAGGCCTTGTACGTAGCTTAATACAGTTGAATCGTTGATCTGCCTCTTCAAACGTCAAACTGCACGAGCCACAGTCTAGACCATGATGTCACATGACATCAGAGTTTTCGGATACAGCCAAGCGTCTGGTTGATACAGGTTTTATGCAAAATTTTAGCCTAATGAAATACTTTGTAGAGTAGATGAAAATATATTTTGTTACTTTTAAGCTTTGTGCGAATAAAGAAAAGCAAACGTATCTTGATAAAGAACAATTATTCTTGGTCTTTTGTATGTTTTAAAATAAATTTGCATGGAACCCTGGTTGCGAAGGAATTCTGGGAATGTTGCACAGGAAAATTTGATGATGTATGTACAAATTTCCTTCCAAATTTCATCTGTTCTTACACGTTAGCAGTGTTTTCCCTAAGAACCGGCAACCGGCCAAATTGACCGCTTCAATTGACAAAATTGCCGCTTTGAAGTAAAAATTTGTTGGAAGGTCCACAGAGATTTTGTTCATAAACCTCATACCCTAGCCTGTTACATCTGATCTCTAACACTTTACTTTGAAATAAAAGGAAAACACAGGTTAGTCTATTGAGCTCGCTGCGCTTGCTATAAATATATGTTACAAAAAATTTACCTTATATCTTGAAACAGACAAAAGTCTACCTGTAATTTAATTCTTCTGTTCTCCATCTGCACTCCATTCTAACTTAGCCAACACAGGTTTATATTAATTTTATAGAAAATATTGGTTACATGTAAGTGGGAAGACACCTACCTCTGGAACATGTAGTAGATATCTGGCTAATTCTCCAATGTACTGAGCAATGGTTACTTTGTGCCTTCTACATTCCTCAAAATAATGTGATGCTGAAAATCTGACTCTGAGAATCATTGTAGCACCTAAAATCGTAGCATAACATACCATAACAAAGAGAGCTCTACAAGATTTCACATGTGAATATGTGAATATTTATTTCAATGAGGACCAAATTTTGTAGCTTTTAAAGACTGTGTAAGAGTTTTCTAACCTACATCCATGACACTTAACAGAGCTAGTGTGGCAGCACTGTGATAAAGTGGCGTGGTGGTATACACTCTGTCATCTGGTGTTACCATACCAATCTGCAAGAACTTAGAGTATCCAATACTCTTTCCTTGATTCACTATGGCTGGCTTAGGCAAACCTTGAAAAAAAAAGTCTCTCATAAACATCTAGGACCACTGGACTAAAAGAATCACAACTAGAAGCCAACAGGTCTAGAATCACTTTTCTGTTAAATTTTGCAACCCTATCACTTCTATTCTAAGTCTCTTCATTTCATCTTATATGATTTAATAAAGCCTTGAAATTCCAAAATTAGGTCACCATGACCTATTTTTTGGTTAACATGCTTTGAGCTCCCAAGATGTATCAACTAACAAAGTAACAAAGTAGTCAGAAAAAGCAATAAATTTAGTAACAATATTTTCCTCTCACTATGACTATATCTGAAATTTATGATATGTTTAAGTGGAATTGAAAATTGATTAATGTTACCTGTTGTTCCGGACGTAAAAATGTAGATACAAGGGGTGACCATAGTGAAAGTACTTCTACAACTCCGGCAGATTTCAGCCCCCGGAGAGTTCAGCATGAGGTCATCCATGGAAATGTAACCTTCGGGTACATTATTGCCAGAGGTACCATATAAATATATTGGAATGCTAAGCTCTGGACGGATCTCCTCCACAGAATGGAACAGTTCCTCACCTTAAAAGAAATCTCTATACTTTGAAATCACAAATTTTCATGGGGATTTAATTTTCGTTGTTTCCGAGATATGAAGACCCACAAATTCATGTCCACCAAGAAATGTTAAATGATTCTTTGTAACTACTAAACAATTCATCACCCACGAAATCAAATTCCCACGAACCAAGAGTTTTCCCTCAAACCACGAAAATTTAATTCCACGTAAATACCTGGTATGCGATTTTACAGTATTAAATTCCATACTTAGCAAATCTTGTGCAATTGATAGCCTTAATAGCATTAATTTGCAATGAAGCTTCTATGATAATATACCATATTTGATATTAATATGTACAATGGTTGCCTATTAATTTTACTGTTAAATATAAAAAAAAATAAGTAACCTACAATGTAAAGAGTCCTTAATTGATTAATTGTCATCTATGATTTAGAAAAAGTCTGGCTTTTTATTACAATTCATCCATCAATTATTATTGTTTTTTTTACTTATCACTTACAGGTAATGACTTAAGAGGCACAACACACACACATTTATATTCAGTCTAGTATCTTTACTATGCAGTAAATGTTTCAACTGCAGAAAATTTACTATATGCAACAATTATTCAGATTCTGTATATTCAGAGGGTAAGTATCATAAACAATGATATTAACCTGTTCCAAGAATTACTGCTTTTGCTTTACTGACTGTGAGTGAATGTAGCAGGGGCTTTGCTTTGTTGTTATAGTTTACGAATGCCACACTTAAACCAATTTTCTGAAGCCCTGAAATGGTAAGAAGACTTTATAAATTAAAAAATGTAGTACACTGTATCAATAAACTGTCAAATTGAATTCACAAATACAGAGGACCTTGCAATGAAATTACAATGTACTGTTTGTAAGAATGATGGGACAAATTTCTGCTGAAAATTTATGACCTTGTACATAGCATAAATTAATACCTCTTGGAAAAAGTACTTCTACAATATTTTTCAGAAGTCCAATCTGATATCAGTATTACCTAAAAATGTCCAAACAAATGCTGGTGAATTCTGACAAATTAAGGCAACTGCATCTCCAGTCTGGCACTTCCATTCATAAGCAATATTAGCCACTTTTTTGGCTTGCTCGTTTATAAACTCATAGGTATATTCTCTGTTCTCAAATATGATCATTGGTTTCTTAGGAAATTTTGCAACACTATTTTCAAACATGTCAATTATATATCTTCCATTTGCTACATCTTGTGCCAATCTCTGTCCAATTCCTTTTCCATATTTCATGTACTGCAGGTCATACTTAATCCATGGAAACATTGTCTGCCATGCTGCCACAGATACACCCGCAACCCCACCAAGGCCCATCAAAACTTTATCTCTGGTACTTGGCATTTTTTCTCAATTCCGTTTTTAATCCTTGCTACAAAAGAGAACTGATCATGAGATATATCATTTTAACATGTTTAATTCAGACAAGATTAAAGAAATTCTTAGAGTCATTATAAAACTCTAGAATGACCCAATTACTAAAAAAAAATCTAAAATATTTTTTTTTCACACATTCAAATATGGAATTAGGCCTAAAGCAAACAGACAATGGTACTCTTGGGCCTACCTATCTACTCTGTCCCTGAAGTATTCAACATGTGAAATGCAGAGCACTTTCTAAAAACAAATATAGCTTCAGCAATTTTATGTAGTGCAACCTCTACTATTTAAGATTAACTGTTAGATTAAATACCTCTGTTATAATGATGAGGTCAATTTGGAGAACGTCCTACCTTTAAACACGATGCCCATCATCCCATGCATGATTAAAAATATTGCAGTGTTATTTCTACAGTATGCTTTAACATAGTATGTCCGTTACAGTCACACTTTATGAAGTTCTCTTTGAAATTATTTTATAAAAAGTAGATGTTTACCTTTGCTTTTAATGGATACGTATGTAGAAACTACACATTCTCGGAGTGATCTCCCTAAATGTTTTTATCAATCAGACAAGACGACAGACAACAAGTTTGAGGTCAAAGTTTAGTGTAACATCGATCCCGATCACAAATCAAACTTCATTACAGTTTTTTTAATTTCATGGTATTGATAAAAAATTCTATACATTTAGAGAGAAGATTTTTAACATACAGAAACAACTAAGATGATGAAAGCAAAGACCTATAAATACTTTGTACCATGTACATATCTAGGTCCCTGAGAAGTGGATCACAACGCGTGCACTTGTATAGTCCGCGTTGTGACCTACTGTTGCATTGAACCTGCTATTCTTCATTTTTGATACCCTCTTTTACACGATCAGTACGTACTTGTCCCTGTTGACAAAGCAGATAACAGCATTGTCTTCGGTTGTAAGGCTCATTATATTATACTCATAGTTCCCTTTTCAAGGAAGAAATTCTCCAAAATCACATGTCAGTTTTGAATATTTTTAATATCCCAAAGAACCAAGATGAATTTGAATTACCATATACAAGTATATATATATATTGGATTCTGAAACTTCATAAGAATCCTTACAAACAAAGATACATAGCGGATTCCATTAAATGTTCAACCAAACCTGTTTCTTTACTCGATCCTCACTAAGATATTTTAAAACAGTAGTGAAGTTGAAACTTCAAGAGTACTATGCAACAATAAATTATATTCAACAAATGGTTTGTTCGGAGAAAAAGAGGCACTATCTGTCTTTCAAATTATTTTACGTCTTATTGTTTCGATTTAAATTTTGTTCAGAATATCGTTATAATCAAGTCTTTTATAAATTGAAAATTCCAAGGAATTTTTGGACAATTTGAAATCACAAGATTTTCCCACAATCAACAACTTATAATTAAAAAAAGCTTACAACTTTTCAAATTTATAAACAACCATTCCTCATGATAAAATAAAGTCCAGGCATTTCAGTGACATCTGCTTTTTCAATAAAAATGGAATTGGTAAATTTACTTACCTTGTCATTGGTCATTTGTAAACTTATTTTGTTTAAAAATTCTGAATTTACACACAAGTACTCTGAATTTGAATTCAAAAGGATGCTTCATTTTCTGATTGACAATATATATCTATGCTGTTTTTTGGAGACCCTGGTCTTCCAACAATTTATTGGAATTCCCACGGGTATACCAATTGCGCCCTGGTATTAGCAGACCTATTTTTGTATTTATATGAAGCAGAACTTGTGCAAAATCTTAAGCATGAAAAGAAGAAAATAAGTACTTGTTGCGCGGCCTTCAACTTGACATTTAGATATATCGACGACGTTTTGTCAACCAACAATTTCCGTTCTTATGTTGATACGATATATCTTGGTGAGCTTGAGATAAAAGATACCACAGAGTCTGACACACCTGTTTCATTTTGGATATTTTACTTGAAAAAGACGTTAATCATAATAACAATGGTCATCTAACAACCAAGCTTTATGATAAACGTGATGACTTTATTTTCTATCGTCAACTTCCCATGAATACTTATGCAGCAATATACCTTCATCACCTGCATATGAAGTTTATATAATTTATCTCAGTTGATTCGATACGCAAGGGCATGCTCTACATGTATGTATGAACAATTTCTAAAACGAGGTAAATTTTTGACAAAAAAGTTGATGAAACAATTTAGCAATATCAACAGTCTCGTTTAAAGCCATCATTTTGTAAGTTCTATGGTCGATACAATGACCTTGTCAGGAAATACAGTTTATCATTGAGTCAAATGCTGGCGGACTCTTTTTTCATACTAATTGTTACTCCATTATTTATACACTGAATCGACGACGGATTTTTTTCGTTATTTCCAGATCGATCATGACAAGGAGCACACGGCAGGTGTGACCGGTCGGCAGGGGATGCTGAGTCCTCCATGGCACCCGATCCCACCTCTGATTTTTTGGAGGTCCGTGTTTGCTCTGCCCCTGTTTTGTGTTGTTTTATGGACTTTTGATCTTGAATACTGTCGTAATCTTCTTATGTTTGTAAAAAATCAAAAATCTAATATCTAGTATGAAAAATCCTTAAAATGTCAACCTAAATACGACCCAATGATAGGTTATATTTGCTATAAAGGTCGTTATAACAGCCATAGAATTAATGATATGCTGACTTAAAAATCCTTGTAATATCAACTTATATGCAAGTTACCTGCCTCGCTATAAAAATTAATCGTACTGATCAGAACTAGATGAAGAACTGTAGACCCCTGCCCCCCAAAAATATTGAGAGACCGGGGAGCTACAGTGCCACCAATTGAAAAAAGTGTATTTTTATTGCGCACAAAAAATTGCGCTGTATCTCGATTTATTTCTTCGTGTTTTTGTCCCCCGCTTGAAAAGTGGGGGATATTAATTTGGGTTTGTCCGTCCGTCCGTCCGTCCGTCCGTCTTTCTGTCTGTCTGTAACGCTTTCGTTTCCACACGATATCTCGAGAACCCTTTGAGCTTTTGCAATGAAATTTAGCATAGCAACTCCCTATGGACTAAAGAAGACCCCTATTGATTTTGAGGTCAAAAGGTCAAAGGTCAAGGTCATAAATAAGCAAATTCTGTCTGTTAAAACACTTTCGTTTCCACACGATATCTCTAGAACCATTTGAGCTATCGCAATGAAATTTTACATAACAACTCCCTGTGGCCTAAAGAAGACCCCTATTGATTTTGAGGTCAAAAGGTCAAAGTTCAAGGTCGTAAATTTATACATTCTGTCTGTGTGTAACACTATCATTTCCGGGCGATATTTCAAGAAGATTTTGAGCTTATGCAATGTAATTTTATACCAAAACTCCCTAGGACGTCTCTCGCCCCTCTCAAAGTGCCCCGCCCCGTTTGTTTTATTAGTATTTATAGTATTACATGTCGCTATTTTTAGCACAGGGGCATGAGGAGAGTTATTGCGTATAAAACAGGTTCTCGGCGGACTTTATGTTCTTATTACATCTATTAGAACTGTTTAATAAAGGCTAAATAAATCAAACACCATGGATTGTGTAAAATTTTGAGAATACCGAACATGAAAACATGAATATATACATGTATGTGACTTCAGTTCTGCATATACTTCACTCCGGTAAAAGCGCCTCATTGGTCTAGTGGTTATGTCTCTCGCTCCAAGTGTGAGAGGTCCCGGGATCGAATCTCGGTCGTACCTTTCTTTTTTTTTTTTTAAATACTTCTTTTTTTTACTAAATGATAGTATTCAGCATGTGAAATGAAAAATTTATGAGGTTATAAAATCATCATTACAGTGTGATAAATATTCCATATAAAAAAATCTTCTATACACATAATAAAGAATAAGCAATCAAATCTTTATATGCATATTGACATACATGTATTTTATTTCTTTCAGTATACATGTATACATTTAATAATTCTACAAATTCAGTCAGGGGGAGCCGACTTTTTCCCTAAGCGGGGGACACGAATTCTCTGAATTAGCTTGTTCTAATTGCCATTACTATCTGTGTGTTTCTAACTTATTAATGTACTATTTCCAAAATTAAAACATTCCTTATAACCGTTGTCACTGGCGGATTTAGAGGGGGCCAGGGTCCCCCTTTTGCGCCCAAAATAGACATGAGATTTAATAAATCAATTATTTTTATGTGAATGTGGGCCCCTACCCCAAACCAAAACTGCCCCCCTTTCCCTCTTTTGAAGATTCCTGGGTCCGCCATCGGTTGTAAATAATAAAAATGCCTCCTTGGCCTGAAATGGAAACCATTGAAGACTTTGTCCATGTACACTGCCATTTTGGACGGCAAGATAATTCTGTCCAATGCGCTTCGTGCAGATATAACACTTGAAAAAGGAATATAATTTTATGTCCCCTTCGAAGAAGGGGAGGGGGGTTCATATTGCTGCTGTCGGTCGTTCTGTCTGTCGGTCCACCATCAATTTCCATTCATTTTCTTCGCAGAGGTTGCACGCATTGAAAATAAATTTGGTATACAGATTTATCATGAGAATATCTGGTCATGTTCGAGCCATTTAGACAGAGTTATGCCCCTTGGACTTAAAACAAGAGGCCCATGGGCCTTATAGGTCACCTGGGCATTATGCAACAACTTTCCAGTGATTGAATTTGATTCATGTTTTAAGCCAGATGCTATGGCATTCTCAATTTTGAAAGAGGCACCATTGATCATCATAACAATACACTTAGCAGTTGCTTAGTTTGTTTACTTAGTACCCATACGCAGGGTAGGGGAACAAAAAATGCATTTCAACTAATCAGTAATATTCAGCAATAATCAGTAGTGCCCCTACCACACATGAACCCCTGACCCTTAGGTGTTGACATTTGATTAATACCAAGAAGCAGATTTTAAACCATTCATTCATTTTCAGTAGATAAGTACAGCCCCCCCTCTATGGTACCCCTGACCCTGGGGGCTTGAAATTCACAATTCTGGAAGATTAGGGCCCTTGTCCATCATAACTATATAGGTAGTTCATCTGCTTAATACCCTGGAGCAGAGAAGAAAATTTTCAAAGATTTAATGTATTTTCACTATATAATCTATATAGCCCCGCCCTAACAACAGAACCCCTGACCCTGGGGCTATAAAATTCACAATTTTGGAAGAGGCATTCTTGCTCATCATAACTATGTACTTAGTTAGTTTATTTAATTCCTAGGAGCAGAGAAGAAGATTTTCAAGGAATTCATGTATTTTCACTATATAATCAATAGAGCCCCGCTCTAACACCAGAACCCCTGATCATGGGGCCATAAAATTCATTATTTTGGTAGAGGCACTCTTGCTCATCATAACTATGCACTTGGTTAGATTATTTGATACCATGGAGCAGAGAAAAGGATTTTCGAAGAATTCATATATTTTCATTATATAATCTATAGAGCCCCGTCCTAACACCAGAACCCCTGACCCTGGGGCCTAAAATTCATAATTTTGGTAGAAGCACTCTTGCTCATCATAACTATACACTTAGTTAGTTTATTTAATACCTAGGAGCAGAGAAGAAG